TGTGAATTCATGCAATGATATTTGCACATGAGTATAATATTTTCCTGACATTTTTTTTCTTGGATATTTTTCTAGCACAATCACAAGTCAATAACTACAACTGCTGGAATCTGTCACTGCGAGTCTAAAATGCTGTTTTACACGAATTGTTTGGTCTGATGTACTGTGAGTTAACAGTTTGAGTAAAGCAAACTGAGGCTGTATTAAATATAGCTCTGGTTTGTATTCCAGATAATGGGTTTAGTAAAAACTGAGTTTGTCAACTCTGGGTTTTACATCCTCTCATGAAACTGCAAAACAGACATGAAACACAACCTGACCAGAGGTACCCATTTCTCCAGTTTGTGAATGGCAGTGGCCTCATGCCAGTTTGTTTGACAAGTAAACATAAAGGCTCACTAGGGAAGCTAAAGTTCAAGGTTAACGTTCAGTTTGGTTGGTTTTGTACCCACTCAGACAGAGGTGGGTAGATAAGGCACAAAATGAATTGGTCAATAATGTCAATGTAAAACCGACCCAAGAGAGACACAGGCATCAGAGTCATGATGAAGACTTTGTCTCACTTCAGTGTGCCAGCCTGTGTAGCTGGCCTGCGAGAAGCTGCTGAAGCCAGTAGACAAAGATCCAGATGTAAGTCTCTTTCCGCATTTATAACTTGGTATTTTTTAAACTGCTTTATTAGACTAACGTCAGCTGAACCTACTGAACCCATTTGTGCTATAATTCTTTTTCCTGAAATATGTTGTGAATTTTTTTTATTCACATGAAAGGTTTCAGATTATTGGCACCTCACAGCCATGTCCTCGGATGCCTGTTTGGTTACAACATTACTGAATTCAGTTTTTTGGCCAAGTGTTTCAGTGGACATTAACTCTACGGACACACCAAACATCTATGATGCTGACTTTAAGGTTAAAATGTGAGCAATCTTTTTACTTCTAATGGTGGTAAATTAGTGGCATGAATCTTTAAAGGTTAAGTGTGTGCGTTTTAGTGACATCTAGTGGTAAGGGTTGCAAATTGCACCCCCCTCCCCTACCCAAGCTGCAGCAGTATAGCTACGGTGCCTGAGACAGGACAAAGATGTCATCTATGAGATAAAAGAGATTGCCAGTCAGGAAATGAGGTTTCTTTTAGATATATTAAGAAATTAAATAAATTATGTAAAACCATATGTTTTTTGGAATATTATTGTTACTTTTCCATTAATAAACAACAGCCACATGAAGAAATGAAGTGCTACATGATGTCTCATTCTCCTGTAATAAATTATTTTACATCTTGGGAGAGTTGGCTCATCTGGACTAACACAGAAAAAAATGATAATGAAGAAATTCTCAAAATCTATCACATCTAGTGCATCCAGTATGACCACTGACAGATACCAGGACAATGTAAGCCTCACTGTTTCTGCACCACAGCCGATTATAAACCACACAATACATACAAAGGCATTGGCTGGGGAGGATCAAAGCTCCCCTTGCTTTGCTTAATTAGATAAGCATGCAAATATTACCAAAATGTCTTTAATTTTTTGAAATACAACAGAAACACAAAGTAGTAATGACAGCCATAATTTCAGCTTGTGGTAACGGTGCAACGTTTTTAATGGGCATTTAGCATGTGAAAGTACAAATTACATATTTGTGTGCACAGTGGGAGGCAATATCCAATAAGTTTTTTTTAATGCAAATTCGGAAAGTATTCATTATTGGTCACTTGATAAGCACAGGGTCTTGTTATATATCACCATTAGCAGTAAAGAGAAATACATGTTTTCCACCAGGGCAGTAAGATGTGAAGTTTAGCTGCTGATCTGAGCTTCCCTGCTGTTACCGTTTCATTACCAATAATAGTCATCAGCTGTTTGTCTCACGATTTCTGTCCACATAACAAGCCATAACAGAGCACTGGAGAAGAACTACATGAAGTTACAATCCAACTACATAGCCCAGTAAAAGTTTAGCTGGCTGATCTGAGCTTTGATGCTGTAAGCTGCTGTTGTATTGCCTTTTAGCAATCAGCTGTTTCTCATGAACATAACATACAAAGCCAAAACAGAGCGCTGGGGAGAGGGAGAGAGAGAGAGAGAGAGAGAGAGAGAGAGAGAGAGAGAGAGAAACTGCATGAAATTAATTCAACTAACATAACACCACAAGCCAAAGGACACCACTGACAGGGGAAACATGTCACGGCTCTCTGATTATGGCCAGCTTCTAGCTAAAGCTATTAAACAACAGTTTCCTTTTGCATGCTAAAGTCTGACAAAGTTAATTACCTGTCCAGCAGAAAACAGACAATTTCAGCACCGCTTTGAAAACTGTCCCACATTAAGGATATAGCCTTCCATCTGGGAAAATCCACAAAATCCGTGATATCTGCCGTCAGCTGTCTGTCCCGACTCTGTCTGACTGTCGGCTCTCCTGCTAAATAACGTGTGTGCTCCTTTAGTTGTCCAAATGTCACTTCTCTTCTTACCTATAATAAACCAGAAGACTACTTGGAGACTGTATATTACTATTAATATTAGTCCCTCTTCTTCTATGTAGTATTCAATGTAATAATAATAATACTAATAATCTTTATTTGTAGACCACTTTTCAAAAACAAGTTACAAAGTGCTTTAACAAGACAATAATACCCAAAAAACAATACAAGATAAAGAAAAGACTAAAATACACATTTAAGATAAATATAAAATTAGTAAAATAGAATAAAATAAAAGGGATAAAATAAAGTCTAATAAGATCGGGAAAGGCTCTCCTATAAAAGTATGTTTTAAGAAGGGACTTAAGAGTTCACTGACTCAGGCAGGCTGTTCCAGAGCCTCAGGGCCCTGACAGCAAACGCTCTGTCCCCTTTAGTTTTCAGTCGAGACTCTGGAACAGACAACAGACCTCTGCCAGAGGATCTCAAGGTACGTGCTGGTGTATATGGAACTAAAAGGTCAGAAATATAACAAGGCGAGAGGCCATGAAGAGCTTTAAAAGTGATCAATAAAATTTTAAAGTCAATTCTAAAACATACTGGGAGCCAGTGTAATGAAGCTAAAACAGGGGTAATGTGGTCATAATTCTTTGTTCTGGTTAAAAGCCTGGCAGCTGAGTTCTGGACAGTCTGGAGTCGAACAATAGATTTTTGGGTTAAACAAGTGAAAAGGCTGTTGCAATAATCCAGGCGTGATGAGATGATGGTGTGTAAAATGGTCTCGGTGTCCTTAAAAGTTAACATAGATCGAATTTTTGCAATATTTATTGCGTTGATTGAACAAGCTTTGTGGTGTGCTGCTCGAAATTTAAATCAAACCAAACACCAAGGTTCTTTGCAACAAGCTTAATGTGATTTACTAGGGAACCAGAAGATGGCAGTATTTGTTTTGCCATCTGCAGGGACCCGATGACCAGGATTTCTGTTTTGTCTGAGTTCAGCTGGAGGAAATTATTTGACATCCATTTTTTAACTTCACAAAGGCAGTTGTTAAGTGAACTCAGCATTCCATTGTCTGTGGATCTGATGGGCAAGTATATTTGTGTGTCATCAGCATAAATATGAAAAGAAATGCCATGTTTATGGATAATATGTCCAAGGGGAAGCAGATACAAGGAAAACAAAATGGGTCCTAAGACCGACCCCTGAGGCACACCATATTTAACTGGACAGAACGAAGAGACATAGTTGTTCACAGACACGCAAAACTTCCTATTTGACAGGCAAGATGAAAACCATTCTAGGGCAGTACCAGAGATCCCCACCCAGTGCCTCAGTCTGTCTTACATGATGTTGTGATGAATGGTGTCAAAAGCAGCGCTAAGGTCCAGGAGTACCAGGACTGAGCACATACCTTCATCAGCAGACATTAAAAGGTCATTGGTGACTTTAAGCAGTCTCAGTGCTGTGGTACTGAAACCAAATTGAAACATTTCAAATAATTTGTTATTTTCCTGTACAGAGAGCAGCTGTTTGGACACAATTCTTTCTAGAATCTTTGCAATAAAAGGCAGTTTTGAAATTGGTCTAAACTTTTGTGGGAGGGAGGGATCTAAACCAGGTTTGGTTCCAAGTGGAACGCAAACCGTTTTAAAATAATCAGGGACACAACCAGTAGATAGGGAGCTGTTAAAAACAGAGATCAAATGGGGCCCAACAGAATCCATTACTCTCTGTAAAAACTTTGTAGATATTACATCAAGTGGGCTGGAGGACACCCTCATTTGTGATACTGTTTTTAAAAGCTCAGACAAGTCGATGGGATAAAACTGGTTAAAACTCTCTTGTTGCTGCGGGGGTAATAGAGGCTCTGACACCACCTTATTGGTAAAATAAGATAAAAACAATTCATAGTCATCATTACTTCCAGCTGAGGCACAAGGAGGAGTTAGGTTTACGTAGGCCTAACCTTTAGAGGAGCAGTAATATTTAGTGACGACAAGTTATCGACCAGATTGTTGGTGTTGGAATCAGACAGGTGTTGGCTTTGGCTCTGAAAGAATGTGCAAAACTTTGAAACACTTTGTTTATTAAAGATGCGAGAACACACGGAGCTTGGTGAGGCGGCATGAGTAACAGGCGAATCGCAGCTAAAAACAATACATCTGTGGTCAGATATGGTCATGTCCACTAATTCCACAGAGGAAATGCTGAAACCCAGGGTAAAAACCAAGTCCAGTGTATGACCACGGTCATGGGTTTGCCCTTTGACATGTTGTTTGAAGTTAAAAGAAGTGGCCATATTTAAAAAGTCAGTTGCATTAACATTGGTGGGGTCATCAACATGAATATTAAAATCGCCACAAAGAACAATTCTGTCATAATTTAAAACCAGAGTAGATAAAAATTTAGGAAGTTCTGAAAAAAATCCTCCAGGCGGTTTTGGGGGGCGATTAATTATAACAAATATGATAGGTTGCAGCCCTCCAACTTTAAGAGTGAGAACTTCAAAAGGAGTTAATTTCATCACAGCATACTTGATGACATTCAAAATCTTTCCTATACACGCTCAC